AACTCCTTGCCATGAAGTACGCACTCGCGAAGTTCAGAGTCTATCTATTAGGAGATAGACCCTTCATTGTTTACACTGACCATGCGTCGTTACGCACGACAGTAAACAGCCCGCACCTTTCTCAACGAATGGCGCGGTGGTTGTCATTCTTTGCGGAATACAACTTTACGGTCGAGTACAAACCAGGACGACTTAATGTCGTCGCTGATGCACTCTCACGTCGTCCCGACTTTGAAACAGTCGCGAAACCCAACAGTGAGACAGTCACTGTTGCGGTTATGACGTCCACAGTCCCATCTACAACGTTGCATGATGATGTGAGGCGGGCATACGCCCAAGATGGTGAGATTGTGAAGTTGTTGACACATCTCTCACAACCATCTCGAGAATCGTTGAAACGATTGTCGCCTGCGTATCGATCTGCATCAGATCGATACACTACTCGTAACGGTTTACTGTATTATACAGCCGTTTCTGGTGACACACCACGTTTTGTCATTCCAGATGATACTGATCTGCGTTTGCGGATCATGTTCGAGTATCACGATGCTACTATAGGAGGACAACGTGGCCGGGAGAAAACATATCTCACGGTAAGTCGAGACTTTTACTGACCCCGCCAGTATCAGTTTGTGCGAAAGTATGTTCGCGCATGCGAAGTCTGTCAACGAGTGAAGTCAAGTCCTTCACTGCGCGCACCTTTACAGCCTCTACCGGTTCCGGCTGAGTGCTGGGAATCCATCTCAATGGATTTCGTCTTCGGGTTACCCAAAGACGCACGCGGGAATACGGGTATTCTCGTGTTTGTTGACATATTCAGCAAAATGGTACACCTTGTGGCTGTACCAGAGACAATCACGGCAAGTGGCTGTGCTTGTGTCTTTATTGACACCATCTTCCGACTTCATGGGTTGCCCCGTGAACTCGTATCAGACAGAGATCCACGATTCACTGCTGATTTCTGGCGTTCCGTGTTCAAATTACTCGGAACGCGCTTGAAGATGTCGACATCTGATCATCCCGAGTCAGATGGTCAGACGGACCGTGCCAATCGTGTCCTTGAAGAGATACTTCGAGGATACGTACACTCCTTTAAGAGTTGAAGTGAGTTTTTGCCAATGGTAGAGTTTGCCATTTACAACTCGGTGCATGCGTCCACGACCCATACACCGTTTTACGTGAATGGCTTACGCCATCCGCGTGTACCCACCTTACTCGAGTGTAACTCTGGTTTAATGGGGGGAGGGACTAGCGCGAGCAAAAACCGAATTGGTTCACGCTCATCACGCTCTGACGAAGAGGTCATTGCGTTTGATGCCGATATCGATAACATCGATATCGAAGAAGATGATGCCAGTGAGAGCGCGGAAGCCCTTACTGAAGAAAAGGTTGATGTTGCTGCAGTGCACTCACAGCGCACTGAAGCTAACGAGTCATCAGATGAGTTCATACTGGCTCGTGAAACGGTAGTCCGTTTTGTGCAAGACTCCATCGCCGCAGCGGTGGATAAGCAAAAGCAAAACGCTGACAAGAATGGAAGGGCAAACACTCTTTTATTCAATGAAGGTGACTTAGTCCTACTGTCTACGGTTAATCTACCAAAGCATGTAGTGACTGTGACTAACTTGGATAGCAGTAAACTACTAACCAAGTACATCGGCCCATTTCGCGTATTGCACCGCCTAGGCAATGCATACACGATCGAGTTGCCACGTAAGATGCGAACGCATCCCACGTTTTACGTTGGTCTGCTGAAGCCGTACCATCAGTACGCTGCTTCTTCCGATGAAGAACGCCCTTGCGCTCAAGCATCTCGCAGAGAGCCTTATGCTCCCGATGATGGGCATCGACAAGGGTCTGAAGAGCATTTATCTCATCCCGAGACCGATCAACAATCCCACGAGCTACCCTTAGCTCGTCACAAAGAGATGTCAGAGCTCTCTCGTTCTCAAGCTGAGCAAAGGCAAACTCATCTCGATGCTTCGAGACAGTGTTCGCCATTTGGAGACGCCTATTCCGCTCATGTTCGAGATCGTCGCGTAACCCTTGCGTTACGCGATCAAAGAAGCTCTCGGGAACACACCGATCCACTTGATCGTGTGGACAGCGTCTTTCCTCCTCCTCCACCTCCATTAGAGGACTCTCGCGGTGGCCAGCGCTATCTAGTTGAGCAGCTGTTGAACCACCGCGACGTGAACGGACGTCGGACGAGTTATCTCGTCCGGTGGCGCGGCTATCCCCCGTCCTGGGATTCTTGGGAGCCCCGCTCCCAACTGATGATCGACGTACTGGGTCTGGTTGAGCAGTACAGCGCGGCACATTTTGTGCCGCAGAAGGACCGCCGGAGAAAGTCTTCCCGGCACGGTCGTAAAGGGATATTCAGGTTGTCAATCCCTTCGTACATCTCAGTAGAGATACGTACGCGCCACCACGGGCTGGTAAGGAGGTAAGCCTCCTCAGGTGCTCGTGCAGAGTTGTTCACACAACATGGGCACGAGTCTCCCCAAGAGAGGCAGGGTAATCCTTTCTCCCTTGACAGACGATGCAGCTTGTAGCGTGCACCTGTCGGGGTTCGCTTTTCAAACTTATCACGAGCTTTGATAAGTTTGTCGTTCCAAACGTCACGACCTGCATCCTCAAGGTTATGGATGTAGGCGTTCCACGCTTGAAGTAGTGAGGGACCATCACGCTTGTGATTCCCACTGTACCATCGATGTTTTAAGAAAGCATCGATGAAGAAATCATTCTCAGCGCGATAGTTTTTTGCGCTGGGGTCAAGGTGATGGATCCTTGGCGAATCGAACAATCGTGTTCGATAACGATCACTCGTCGTTGCCGACAAGTGATCCATGACGGATTTCGGAGGCATCCATGCCTTCTTCTCGGAAGCGAGACGCAACACATTGCGGTCCCGCTCTTCTTGCGACGTGCCGACAGTAGGACTGGCACCTCGTTGCGAAGTGGTGTCAATAGGAGAACCGACACCACTGTTAGCGCCCGAGTCTCGAGATCTCGAGCGCCTTCGCTTCAGCGATGGTTCATCTGATTCATCAGATGAACCGAAGATGCTGCGACGCAAAGCATCGTCCATGCCACGCTTGGCAGGCGGCTTGGATTCAATCGCCGTCGCTACGGATCCGTCTTCCGTATCAGGAGAGTACGAGACACCGAGCTCATACTCTGTGAAGACATGAGTGTCTTCATGACCAGCGCCTGCATCACCAAGTGACACAGGCTGGGTCGCTTCAGCAACCGATGACACATCAGTTGCTGTGGTTTCTGCTTCGGCGTCCGCACAGAGACGTGCGGACGCGCTCTCGGCGGCCTTGCTCGCGCATCGCATGGGCTTGTTAACCATGCGATGAAATGTTGGAAAGTGGACTCGGACCAACAAGTGCAAACCCTGTCCCATCTGATTTGGGACGAGTACCCATTTAGTCAATCAGTCACTAAAGTGACTGATGGTTAAGGGGGTGGTGATGTAACGGGGTGAATCGTTACATAACAATTTATAAGAAATTGTTAATAGAATATAACTGTAAGAGTTATATTCTCAGAATATTGTCATAAGGACAAATATTCTGTAGCACTTACGAGTAGTTCCTAATTGGTTGATATAGGCCATTACATCAACCAACGAAGACGCGCCACGACAGACGCACGCAATGAGTGGTGAGCAGATAACTGATTTACACATTTGTATTTAGACATAGTTAGATGAAGATAAACAGTGGTTTATTGCAGACATTAACTATGATAAATACAGTTCTACTTTTTACTTTAATAAAGTAATCGCTTCTTCTTACCGTCTTCCTCTGCACGTACGAGTGTACGTGAAGCTCCGAGGCACCTCCTTATTCTGTTATCAGAATAAGTAGCTTGTACAGTCATCAGTACAAGCTTCAGGATGCCCCGTTACAGACACATTCTGGTCAACGGGGATTTCTACTGCCCTGTCGGGATGTTGCACTGATTGTGGCGTACCCCGCACCACGCTTGTCGTCTAAGTAGACGCAAACTCTATCCATAAAGACTACTGCAGCCACGATGGGATGTTGCACTGGTGAAGGCGTCCCTCATTTACGCCTGCCATCTCGGCGGACACACTCTGGTCAACGGAGATTGCTACAAATCTGTCGGGATCTTGCACTGATGGAGGCGTTTTACGCAGAACGCTTGTCGTCTAAGCAGATGCACATTCTATCCATACATATTACCACAATTTTGGAGGGTGATTCTTGGATTAGGGGGAGGGACTCGATCGAGCAAAACCCGTTTAGACTCTTTTCATCACGTGTCAACGCTAACGTCGTCACGTTTGATGCCGATGTCGATCAGGTCGACATCGATGAGGATGAATGTCTTAATAATAGCGATGACGCTGTTATTGAGTCAGTTGATGATGATGATGCTGGCATTTCAGCATCACCAAATACAGTCGCACCGAGGATGACGCCATCCTCGCCGATAAACAAGAAGAGGAAAGGACTCTTTCTGCAGTTCTCACAAGGTGAACAGGACAAAACAACGCCGAGCAGAAGAAGGATTTCTGCTGGCTCGTGAAGCAGTGGTCCGTTGCGTACAGGTTTCCATCGCTTACGCGGTGGACCGGCAGAAACGGAACGCTGACAATAATGGAAGAGCAAACGTTCTTTCATTTGACGAAGGCGACTTATTCGTACCATTTACCGTAGATCTACCTAGAAACGTAGTGACTAACGTGGGCAGCAGTGATTAACTAACAAAGTACATCGGTCCCTTTCGTGTGCTGCGCGGACAAGGCAACGCAAACACGAACGAGCTGCCACGTAGGATGCGCACGCACCCTACGTTTTGCGCAGGGCGTCTCCTGCCTTACTGTCAGTACGAGCCCTCTTCTTACGATGTAGATAGCCTTCACGTTAAACCTCCATCAGGATCTTGCGCCAGTGCTCCAGAAGATCAGTCTGGATGCGTACCGAAGAGATCTCTCTGTTAAATCGAGAGATCTCCATGCATGCCTACCCCAGTTCCGCAACGATCGAGCGAACATCGTGCTCGTCCTGCAGCTGCGTGACCTCATAATCAACAAGGTTCTTCGCACGCTCGGTCTCGCGATTTTTGCGGTGATCCCGCAAAGAATCGGTCAGGGCGTAACGCGCGTTTCTCTCGTGCTCCAAATACTCGCGCAATTCAACAATTGCGAGATCCATCTCGTGAGGATCGAGATGGTCAGCAGTATAACTTGGAGGAGATTCAATTCCTTCTCCACATACTATGGTGGACTCACACGGTGGTCAAAGCGTCCTTGTAGGCCGTATCGTGAAACACCGCGACGATGCAGGATAAATGGCGAGTTAACTCGTCCAGTGGCGGGGGTATCCACCTTCTTGCACACGCTGGGAGTTCCGCTCTTAGCTGATGATCAATATGACCGGTCTCGTCGAGCGTTACTACGAGACGCACCCTTTGATTACAGAGGGCCATCGTCGTACGAACGATCGCCGCGTTCGGAAAGGAATTGCAAATTCTCAATCCCTTTGCGCATCTCAGACGAGATGAGCGCCCTCCAGTAGGGCTGATTAGAGACGCACGCCTCCCTAGGGGTGCGAAATGAGTTGTCAACACAACTCAGACACTTCTCTCCCACGAGAGGCAAGGTAAACCTGCCTCTCGATACAATCTACACAGCTTATAGAGAGCACCGGTATGTGATTTCTGTTTAACTTGCTGCTGCGAATAGATTAAAATTTGCTGAGCCAGGCTTCACGACCATCGTTATTGATGTTGGCCGATAAAAGCATTTTACGCATGTGCTAACAAGGGCTTGTATCCTTTCTAATAAAGGTACAACCATCGATGTCTGAAGAATACATCGCTGTTGTACTCATGCTCGGTACGATAATTTCTCGCTTTAATACCAAGACCACAAAGTCTTGATTAATTAAAGAGTTGGAGGCGGCGATTCTCAGTAGTATGAACATATAACTCTGAGATTACTCAGGGGAGGCAAAGGTAGCCTGGTCTTAGGAGCAGATCGTAACTCATCACGATCTTTCTCCTCTCGCATAGTGGCTTTGTGTACACTACGATCGCCGCAATTACTAGGATTGATACGGCTACGATGACTCCGCGAGGATTTATTGACATCATCACGACGATTTGCGTCAACCTGCTAATTACTCGCACCAAACGAATGCGATCTGCTCGATCTCGGTGTCGAGTCCATGGACTCGTCGGATGAGGCGAACAACTCACTACGTAAATCGGGATCGAGACAGCCACCTCGTCGGGCAGTGGTCGTATCTGCACCCACAGCCTCTGTTACGGGGCTAGAAAAACCCGTACTTAGCTTACAATATCGATGCTTAGGAAGCCTTGAACCCAAATTCTAGGAATCAATTAAATTAAGCTCGGTTTATATTTTTTCTCTTTTACAATTCTAAGTACAAATGGTTCTCATGGATTTATGAGAGCCACTCAATCTACATGTCGATATATTACTGGCTGATAATGGGTCGATCCCATTAAACCAGCTACAAGTATGCGACTTGGGAATCCGCCACTTTGGATGCAGCAACCTACTTAAGTTAAAGGTAATTTTAATCGAGACTACTTATGGACCGGAATGCCTCATTTCATCGTACCCTTCTTAAGGCAGCACTAACGCACCCTGAGTGCTCAACTGCAAGACCCCAGAAGCTGGTCAACCCAAGCGATGACTGAAGACGGAAACGCTAACACCACAGAACTCCCGCGCGTCATCAGCGTGATTTTGACAGACCACGTGGTGGATCAGCACTGATCCCTTGGGCGCTGTACGATTTGTTCGAAGCGCGAGATCCGGACTTTCTCGAAACCATGCAGGATTACTTCTGGCGCTTTTGCAGATTACGCAGGAAGATTAAAAAAAGTCATCTTGCACAACTCGATCCAGCGTTCTTGGTGCACGTTCATCCGGCGGTGGATCCGGATGCTTGAAGACAGAAGGAATTTTCAGTTGTGGATTGCCAATTGCGAAGATATCTACGCCGATCACTTAATCGGTGTGCTGCGAGAGAAAGTCTGTGAGAACGCGTGGAACGTAGACCGACTCGGCTACGTTAACGTGCACGAAGCTTGCTACTCCTGTGAATCGATGCCTCGTTAAACCCCTGAGACTTGGCAACGACACGTCGATAATCATCTACTCAGCGAATATGAACAGCTCTGGATCCGACGGTATGAGCTCAGCTTGATAGAGTAAGATCGCGGTTAATCGTGGTCCGTCAAGCTGGCGACAACACTCGCGTTCTCGGGTATGTGGTGCCACACGGTCGCCACGACGTTCTCGTTCGCGTGGTCGTGATAATACACGTTCAACGCGACGTTCACAACGTCGTGGTGACGTTTCACTGCTCATTTTGTGTCGTAGCTGTTCGTCTCGTAGTCGTGGTAACGCTTCAACACAACACCGTCGTCGTTCTTCTCAATTTCGCTCACAGCGAGAATAATTACGTCGTCGGCCAAATTTGGATCGAGGGCATGCACTGACACGTACACCCGAACTCCATCTGGATCGGCTTGAAGAAGCGAGGAGCTCGGTTCCCACGTATCCTGCTCGGGTGCAAACCCGATCCAACATACAAGTTACTTACGCGCTGTTGGAACAGCGCGCGCATAAAAGGTAGATGATGTCATTTCGCTACGAGGATCCTTGTGGCACAGTAAACGCTCCACGATACAGCGTTTCTGATGTTCCGCGTCCACAAGCGGCGGCAGGCCTTCGAAATGATAGCGCTGACGTCCTGGTTGCCCAGGACGATGTAAATGCGGCAGTAAATAAGGCTGTCGATGCCCAACTGTAAGCTGAAACTGCCCTTGATCGTGCTGCGCGGGCTGAGGTAACAGCGAGTGAGGTTCGACAGTCGAAGTGCGAGCTGCTTATACGGAGGCGGATCCTGGAACGCCAAGTTCATCGACACGCGCAGACTGAAACGCAGCCGCGTCCGATGTCGCTGGCGCGTCGAGCAAGGCGAGAGGTAAGGTCGACCTATGATCCTTTGCCTCCGGGTTCGGAGCCAACCCGTAACGCGTAGCTGGACGATTCTTTGTAAGCCGCCTTACGTTTAACGTCGGGTGAAATTGCAGCGACGAAGGGATGTCCGGCGTGAGGGCATCGCCGATTGCCTCAAGTACTGTAAATGGGCCGATGAAACGTGGCACGAGTTTAGTCGCGCCGAGATCGTTTACCGCTGAATCTCATAGGACTCCAGTAGATTGCAATACACGATCACTCTTCTTGAATGTAGTCAGGTTATTTCTACCACGTTTGTCTGCATTTTCTTTCTGTTTGTTCACTGCAGATCGCAGAGTATCGCGTACAAACCTCGTAATGGCTTGACGTTGGAGTATAAACTCCGACACAGCCATGTCATCAATTTATCGCGTCGACTCAATCGGTGCGTAGTTGGCTTGAGGTTTTCGTTTACCCGAAGAATGTTCAATCAGTGTGTGTGCGTCCATTGAGCTAGCAGGGACGCTATGTCACGTGGCGTCAAAACAGAAGGCTTCGATTTGGACCGAGTGACAGCATTCGCGCTCAGAATATCTTGAGCTACACTCGATCGTTATTTATCACTTATATCCCCTATCAGAGTGGAGCCACGAAGAATTGTGGGATGAATCACGGCAAGAAGAAGAGGTACACGAGGACGACGAGCCGACTTTGCATCAAATGGCGTCGACCCCGTCGACGTGTGATCAGCGTTGTTGAATGTGCAAAATCCGCGCGTGGCAAAAATTCACTTAAAATTGTGAAGGAAATTACTTAACTTCAAAGAGCATCTTCGAGTACCCGTTTAACCCGCTCAGTTTGCTTATCCGTTTCCAGATGGGCTGCTGTCAGCATTTGTAGACAGCTCCTTAAGTCAAAGCAAGACTTAACGCTTAACGAGCAACTTAGTTCGAAAGATTTAGACTCAATGAGTCAACAAGCGTGTAGCTACTGGTCCTTGTTCCAGGCACCAAACGATTCAATGAATCAACAACAGTTGATTCTTAATAGTGACTAGCTACCTCAGAGAGGTGTTGCTAACTCTTAGTGATCAGCAATCAACGACCAAAGACGCCTCGCAAGGCACGCGTCTTTAAGATAAACAGGAAAACTGAATTTATTTACATTTACACCTGTAGAATATCTTAATCCTATCAGACACTTAAATCCTAAGTTAGCACAACTAAGATCTCTTTATCTGGTGGCTGACACCAGTCAGCCCCTATAAACCGATAGAATATTCTACATCTCTTTCAGTGGGATATCATCTGTGTGTCTAAGACACAGGGTACCAAGTACCCAGCTACGTGTAACCCCTTAACACCCTCCCCTACCATACTGACGTCTCCCCAAACGTCAATCGAACCTTGTCCCAATCAAACGTTTCCATCGAACTTTGTTTTCCCACGAGGCCAGTGCATTTAAGTTTAACCCTAGGGTAACGTAAAGCTTAGCACGATGTCCTCACCACCTAACGAGTCAAAGCTTCTCATTGATTATCATAAAATAAGGGAAGTTTTGGACTATGGTAGCAATACCAGTCTCCCGGATGATGCAGGGACAAATTACGATACCCCTATGTCTGAGGTGCAACCTCGTACTGCCCCCTGTCCGTTCCCTAAACGTGATGATGAGAATTCGCCATTGGTGCCGCGCTCAACACCCGGTTCGGATTGTACCATCATCACGAACTCGCTCAACGAGCAGCAACAGTTAATCATTCAACAAGGAAAAAGCACTCGGCGCCCTACGCAAATGGTCACAACCCTCGAGCACCAACGTGACTTTGTGTTCACTTTACCCAGTGTGGAGGAACGCTTACTTGAAGCGGCAGGCCATTCTTTGGCAACGTGGATCACTGACCATAGGCTTAAGTCTCCTGAGGAGGTGGCGAGGGCCAGGCACTTGGCGAGAGGTTCATAGAGCCTCACCTAACGACCCAAGGTCAATACAAGGCACGCATCGATATGCAACCACGTGGTGCACCGGTCCTACCGGTCAAGGGTATACCCATTCTCTTGTTTGCAGGCGAAACAGAGAGCGAAGAAGACAATGCCTTGTTCGCCGGGTGCACCCCATGCGTTGCCTTAGCAGTATGTCTGCTCTGAGAGCTGTTGCCAATGTGGCTGATGTGCGTCTCAAACGCAAGCTCCGGTATGACTACGCCAAGTTTAAGCCAGAGGCCATTTGCGTAATTTCACGGGATTTGCTTCGGCTGATACAAGAGCCGCGAGTGTTTGTCAATCGATGACCACCAACCCGCCAACCCACACCGGGAGTGGTGGGAAAAGGCCTCGGTCTCAAGATGACCTTGGCCACGATGTTCAAAAACAACCAAAGCGTAAGGGCAATCTTGCCGCAGGGGTACCTCGTATTCCCATGTGTTCTCAGAATCAGAGTACCCACGCCACTTTATTTACCAGATACTGGTATTGGCCATGAAGACGACGTTGTTTTAGTAGTCACTAGATCAGAAACTGAAGACACCCGTACCTATCGATCAGCGTCGATGGTGGCCGGTGTTCCGGTGGCAGTCCACAAGAAATTGGTTTTCCAAGTGAAGGGTCTTCAAGAGACCCTGAAGAAGACCTATTGCATGCTTGATGCGATGCAGAGCCGCCTTCAGGCTATGGCGCGTGCTCAAACTCGGAGCGAAGCTCAGTTGGACTTTCTTATTCGCTTGCAGCAAACCGGGTCACCGCCCTCTTCGTCGGCGCCAGTGCCTTAAAGTCCACATGGGAAAAATACCGGTACGGCTTAAGTAAGCCTACGTAGAACGCTGGGTGTGTGCGCAATTTGCGTGGAAGGTTGAGCGTAAACGCTGGGCTCTTCTTAGCAGTCACCGTAAACGGTCCAATGAAGCGTGGACGCAACTTTGTCTTGAACACAGCAGACACTACATTATTAGGTAGGTTGTTTGCTCTGAGTAATACTTGGTCTCCGACCTAATAGCTTTCAATACAAATTCTGACTCAGGCATCAGCTTACTGTTTTTGTTGATCTTGGCTATCAGCCATTGCGCCACGCACCTGTCGCAGGACATTCAGTCGCGATGCGAAAAATCGCCTACCTGTTTCGGGACAGTATCAAGGCTGATATCAGCAAGCCGATCAGCAACCTCTCCCCCACCAAACCCTGAGCCACAAAGCGGTAGCGTAAATGGAACGAGAGGGTGGGTGAGACCTCTTACGTATAACGGAGTAAAGCCTGTGTGTAACGGGGTAGTCCTGTACGTGATATTGACACCGTTTAGTGTCAATATGGAGACTGTCCAGCATGACAAATCCTATCAATATTATCCGAGATGGATACGATTGAAGGAACATTATCCGCGATGGATTCTATCCACGCGCTGCCAGAAGATTGTTTGATCAAAGACAAATCAACCAAGATTACCACCAAACGCGGCTAGACTCGCGTACTGAGTGGTAAGCAGGTTGTCGTCAAACGACAATGTAGATTCATGGAGCTAGATAACTACTGAAGTTATATTAATAGCTTAACTACATTGGAAACAGTTCTTATGGTACGTTTACTCGAACAAGCTGTTTGCGTAGATTAGCCTTCTCTGTACGCACTAGTGTACGTGAAGTTTCGCTCCACCCCAAACAAAGGGTGTCCCGTTACACCTGGTAGCACTTCGTAGTCCATCCAACGACTCTTAAGTGTCCGTCTAACATGAACACGCTCGACGTAGAAGAAGACAGCTTTCACGTCACACGTGAAGGCTACTTCCATCTAAGTGACTCAGAATGGGAGGTAGTTGGCCGCATGAGTGTGCTCATGGGCGAACCCGCCATCAGTGGCATGTTGGAGTCTCTAAGCTGATAACAGCAACATGCTGCTATCAATAAGTTTATGCGCGCAAAACTTGCCGTCCAAAGACGGAAGATAGCCTTGCCACAACAGCAAGGCTCTCATCAGTCGTTGGGCGGGCCGACGCACATGCGTTGACCTAAAAACTTGAATCTAGACATCTCAAGGTACACATTAACCGATGAAGATTCCCTTTCGAGATGGTTCGTCGAGTTGGACGACGCCATAAGGGCCTTTAACATCAATAATGACGAGATGCAAGTAACCTTTGCCCTGTCAGGAGACGAGTCCAGCGCACTCTCTGCACTCCTAAGGCTCAAACAAGGTAAGCGTGATGTGCAAGCTTATACACAACACTTTCGATACCTTGCGAGTAGCGTCATGGAACACCTGTTGATGAGCACACAATCACTAACGTGTTCATCTACGGTCATGTAGATGGACCGGTGAAGACTTGCATGTTCCAAGAGGACTTCCACGCGCTGGAAAAGGCGATAGTGTATGCGAAACAAGAAGACTTCAGTCTGAGACAGTCTCAGGCTAACTCGTCAAACAATCGTCTACGAGACGACAGGAAACCGGAGGTCCCGAACCAATGTACCTCTGTTCCATCGATAGCGAGAACCCTCGCTCTCTGAGTCACAAGCGAACGGCAAGATGCCATCGCTGTCAGAAGATTGTACACTACGCTCATGAGTGTAGTGTTCCAAGCACCGCATCAAGTCCAAAGACAGGACGTGATGACCACCGTTGGCCAAGGAAGGGTCCGAGGCGCGGGTCCGACCATATCGCTAAACCGCGACAGCAAGTCGGACCGCCAAAAACGGTCAGGGTCAGTAGGGGCGGAGCACCCTGCTGATCCAGCAATGTCCAGAGAATTTGCAGGACTCTTGACGAAGATTGCTCCCAACACACAGTAACTGTGTGTTACGGATCCTAGTGATGAGGTGTCTCTCATCACAATGAAGATCGAGGTGACAAGTAGAATGTCACTTCGCGCCCTAGTTGACTGTAGGGAGTCCAACAGTTTTGTTAGACACCAGTCGCTAGAGGATAGTAGACTCAACTATGTTGAGCAAGATCTTCCTCTAACGGGTATGAGGGTGTGCCTTGCTACAGGCACATCCTTGACAGTGAACAAACGTGTAGTGGGAAAGAAGTACGACGACGACTTTTTCGTATAAGATTTGGATGGTAAATTCGATGTCATCCTCTGTCTGCCATGGCTTAGAAATTACCAGCCATGGATCAGCTGGCAGCACCGATCCTTGAAGATGCCTGCCGTTTGTTCATCAGATGGCCATCTGATGAACGTCTTGGAGCGTCCACAAGCGTGTTTACGTACTACGAGTAAGTTCGATGGCCTCACTCGTGATACTTTCGTTGATACAACTACACAAGATCACAACATAGAAGGCCACTACACTGTAGAACCAGCTTCCGGCACCTGTGTAGAGACACAGGCTGCACCGAAGGATCACCACTCGAGGAGATCAAGTGGACTGGAACACGGATGCACACCAATAAAGGCGCATCCAAGAAATGAGATGAGTGTTGTTTAGGATGAACAACATGTCACAGCGAGATCAACCAACAGAGAGTCGATCGCAGAGCAAACACGATGGACTGAAAGAGAGTCGATCGAAGAGTACGTGACTGTGGTAGTAGGGACACCCACAGTCAGTACTCGTATTGAAGAAAGTCACAGCTTTCCTAAGAGTGATATTTCCCGAGAGTGTTATGTTGAAGGTGTGTTTCCCCACCCACCGGCGGATACGCTCTTCTAGGAAAGCCGTGAGACAGTAAATGTCTTGTTGATTGAAGGATCTAGGCTCTTACACACTTGATCCGGTCACACCTCCAAATTCAGCTTCGGAGGGAATCAAGTTGCCAACGCTAGAATCTGAAAGCTTCTTGCGAGATCTGCGTAGTGACAAGATCAACCAGATCTGCTTACTCATCACAGAGGAAGAGTACGCCGCCTATATTCGGTCGGCACAAGATTTTACTGAAATCGGACGGGTTCTCAGTAGCTTATTGACGGATGATAGATATTGTTTTTGATGAGAAGACTCGGATTAAGCGATACACGTCTCCATCTTGGTAGCCTATACAGACAAATCCTTCGCATAAGGATTTGGTCAAAATCAGAAATGCTTTCCCGGCATCCGTGCCATGCGAGCTGCTTAAGAATAAAAGCACTCTGCATGAGATCGAAATAGAACCCGGTTCGAAGTACTGTGTCATGAAGCAGTGGCCACTGCCTCGTGAACAAGTACTTGTGATCGACAAGTTCTTTGCCGATCGCTTAGCGGCTGGTCATGTGAGGGAATCAACATCCCCACACATCTCTCCGACCTTCTGTGACTGAAAGGCCACAGGAGTGTGGCAGTTAGTACGCGCGCTCAACGAATTGAACGCTGCAACGGTACCGGCTCAATCTCTAATACCAAGGAAGGACGTCATCATGGTTGGTGTGGCAAAAAGTACCATATTTTCGTCCATGAATCTGATTGATGGATTCTATCAGATCGTCATGCGCGAACGGGACATCCCGTACAAAGCAGTGAGAACCCCCAGTGGTATGCTCTGGGATTGGCTAGTCATGCCACAGGGGCTAAGTAATTCACCTGCAACGTTCAACAGATGTGCTACGAATCGGTTGCTACTGGTGCGCGATATTGCAACGAGTTACTGTGACGACTTCTTCGTCCATACCGGGCTATGGATAGAAAGCCGGACGTAGAGGTTCATAGAATCCACGTCCGGAAGGTTCTTACACTTATGCGAAAGCGTAAGTTGTTCGCGAACACCAAGAAGTCTATATTAGCAGCGAGAGAAATACCACTTCTTGGCTTCATCGTGGGTAAAAACGGCATTCACCCTGACCCGAAGTAGATCAAGCGATTAGCGACTGGTCTGTGCCAGTCGACGCCAAAGGACTTTTAAAGTTCCTTGGCTTAGCGGCGTACTTGCACAAGTACGCCGCGCTACTACGCCGAGATGACCGTACATCTCTCTCGTCTGCAAAAGAAAAACGAGAGGTGGTCAAATAGTGCTGAGTGTCAGCATTCCCTATAAAGCATAAAGAAAGTCTTGATACGATCGCCTGTGCTGGCGATGTGGACCAAGACAAACCATTTCACGTGGGCTGTGACGCCAGCGATTTTGCAATCGGCTACGCTTTAATGCAGTACGACTCAGACGACGTAGAGCGCGTCATCTGTTACCAATCGCGTCAGCTGCAAGCAGCTGAGCGTAATAATTCAGTGCATGACAAGGAACACATTGCCATGAAAAAATCTTTGGCTTAGTTTAGGGTACATCTCTGAGGAGATAGGTCCTTCATCGTTTATACCGACCATGCGTCATTACGCACGGCCGTAAACAGTCCACACCTCTTGCAACGAGTGGCGAGGTGGATTTCTTTATTCGCGGATTACAACTTCTCCGTCGAGTAAAAACCAGGACGAATTGATGTCTTCGCTGATGCTCTTTCGCGTCGGACCGATTTGGAACCGACTGCTCGACCCAACAATAGGGGTGATCCCACTGTTGCAACACTATCAGTGAGTGTTCCGTCGTCAAATCTTCTCGACGACGTGCGGAAAAAATACAGAAGATGGGTCTCTTCTGCGGTTGATGGATTACGTATCCAATCTGTGCATTCAAGCTTTGAAAAGTTTGTCGTCTCAATACCGCTCTTCAACCGAACGGTATTCTGTTCGTGATGGACTGCTATACTTTACAGGTGTGTCATCGACGACACACCTCGTGTCGTCGTTCCCACTCATTATGATTTGCGATTACGCATCATGTATGAGTGCCACGATGCCCCAACAAGTGGGCATCGCGGTAGAGAGAAAACTTACCTCACGGTAAGTCGCGACTTCAACTAAACCCGACAGCATGATTTTGTGCGCAAATACATTCGCTCTTGCGAAGCTTGCCAACGGATGAAGCCTAGTCCCTCATCCCATGCACCATTGCAGCCTCTTCCGATTCCGGCAGAGTTTTGGCAGTCCGTATCGATGGACTTCGTCTTTGGGTTTTCCAAAGCCGCTCACAAGAATACTGGTATTCTTGTGTTTGTTGATAGATACAGCAAGATGGTACATCTTGTTGCTGTACCGGAGTCAATCACAGCCCAAGGCTATGCGCGTGTCTTCATTGATACTATCTTCCGACTTCACGGGTTACCCCGTCAATTCATGTCTGATCGAGACCCCCGCTTCACAGCGGAGTTCTGGCGATCCGTGTTCCGTTCATTAGGAATACGGTTGAAGATGTCAAGTTCTGGCCATCCCGAAAGAGATGGTCAAACAGAACACGTCAACAGCGTTCTCGAAGAGATAAGCGTAGCCTTGTGCACGGCGGACGCAATGTCCGGCCGTATGCAGCGCGCGACCTATAGCAGAATGAGACCAGGGACTGAAACATTTTAATTGCTGGCACCCAAAATATCTTAGTCACGGTGAGCAGCGCGCTGTGATCTGCTGAAACGTTGAAGCAGTAAGCGCCAAAGGGTGATTGTGTAGAGTTTGCGTCCTCGAGCCCCTGCTCATGCGGAAGCTCCCCGATCGTCTCATCCTGGTCGAGCACGTAGCCATCGCATTTGTCAACTGTGACGTGCTTTTTTAAAAAACTTGCTGCAGGCGCTGAGGTCCTTAATTTATAAGCTGCCGAGCTTGACGAAGAAGCGGTCGTCTGCCGCGTTGATTCTGGTGGCAATTAAGATTATGTTGTATACGCCCACAATGACCAAGGGGTCGCTCTCGAGTTGCCAGTAGATACACATTTCGAAGATGCAATGCCAGAACTCGGCTTTTAAGCAGCCAAGCGTGCAGGATCTAAACCCAGAGTTGACCAGCCTGCTTTACGATGTACACGATCATTGTAGCTGCAGCACAAATACTTCTTCGTTGCTGCGCCCAGCGTCTTGAGCGCGTTTTATCGATGTCCATTGCCTGCGGCAAGCAGAAAGTATGTCCAAGTGCGCTCCCTTGTCGGCCCTGACACACGCATTTACAAGCCGCCGTGCTTCGCCGGGACACCCCACACGGCCAAGTGCCATAATCCCCTTTAAGGTCAACATGTACATGACGGTCGCGAAGTTGAGCTGGTAGTCGAGACCGAAAACTTATTTGTCACCGCAGGTGACCAGGTAAGCCTTCAAGCGGTTGGTCTCGCCGTGTGCCTCAGTCTTGGTTTTAGCTACATACATTGTATTCAAGTGTTTGCTGCCCGGAAGTCGCCTGATTAATCTTCATACGCCTTACTCTTCTCGGGCTTGGAGATCTTCGCGCACGGACCCTTCCTGCCTTCGCGCTTGGTGCTGCAAAGTGCTTACCCGCAATTTAAAAAATCTCCCTGGTGAAAATGAGCTACCACGCTGTTGTCGCGGGCTGGTCTTCCTGATCGTAAGCCGCCTGTTCGAGCTTGGTTTTGCCGCGCGTCCGGTGGACCACGCTTGTCTACGAGTACACTTTTTTGTCGCTGCGCATCGTCTTCGTCGTTAGCAGTAGAAGATGCTTGGATCGTTGTTTCCGTTGCTGCTAGCTCCACGTGTCGATCTTCGTGCTAGAGAGCTAGCTACAGCTAATTTTTCTGCTCTGCTTTAAGCGACTTGACGTTGCGCACATGCTGCGCGACCGTGATCTTGGTCTACCTCTGGAGACGACGCGAAAGCCCATAGTTTCGTCGGCTCGCTCGATCATCACGCCGACTTTCGCGCGCTGCACGAGCGGGTTCTTGCCTAAGCCAAGATGGACCAAGCAGATTGAGCTAAAGGTAAAGCTTTTGCGCCGATACGGAAGCGTGCTTCATCAGTACCTCGATCGGTGACGCGCGCTTACCGTTCGCGCTTGTCGAACTGCAGTTGAGGACATACGCCGCTTGCTACACCGCATCGACCCTGGATTTAACCTGCAGTCAGCTGGCAACAAATTACGCTGCGTGCCTTGTTTAGGATAATCATTTGTATGCGCTCGGCCTTGCCGTTTGACACTTGAGATATCGTCTCGCTTATCTGCCGCGCAACGCCAGTCCGCTTGCTGAAGAGGTGGACGTTCGTTCTTCGTCGACGCTGTCGGTGTGCAGCGCGTGGATCCAGAAACTAATTCGGCGCATAAAGAAGGTGGGCAAAAGCCCAAACTTCTTGGCCGACTTGTCCTTGGTCGGCTTCAGGTTGGCGCGACACTAGTTTGACTTGTGATCGACAAAGTTGACGAGATAAGGATTGTGAAATCGGTCCTTCGGGGTCATCGGAAACTTAAGGTATGAGCGAATGACCCCGCCAAGTCTGTCGAACGGCTTTAGTGCCAGCGTCCTTCTTCGACTTATAGCTCCAAGTTTGCTAGCCCTAAGTGCAAGAGATTCACATCGGGCGTTTGTGATCTGTGAGCACGATACTGGAAGCGGGTCTCCCACCATGCGCTCGATGGTGTCGTACGCGTGATATACAAGCGTCTGATGGAAAGGCAGCAGCGATCCGCTTTGCGTGTCCGACTCGGGATCGTTTGGAGCTACCTGACTCTTCACGATCGCCAGGAGCACGTCGCTAGGCAATTGTGGCTAGCTATCCGCTAAGCCGTCTGTACGTTAAGTAAATTTTGATCCATCGCCACGTCGAACACGACATGGCAATTGCTGCGCCGTGCCGACATGCGTGACCTGCCTTTGTAGATGATATCGATTTTCTTGATATGAAGCTTGCTGTAGGACATAATGTTACGCGACAGCTCAGGCCAATCTCACGTCTTTTAACATCACACTTTGCTGCTGTTCTTTAGCGATCACAGTAAAAACGACGCTGCCGATTCGCGTCAGCTGATGATCTCGACATCTTCAAAAGGGCACTTATGATCACAGTCCCGCTCCTCGCACAGCAGGGATGCGTCGTTGACGAGGTAGAGGCTGCAACCGCTGTCGAAAATCCTGTATCAATCTTCGTCGTCGCTTTCTTCGCCTATGCGAACACCATAATGTCCGGTGGTGTGCGAGACGTTGCGAAATTCTTATCTGCCGACAGCTAGCGCGGGTGCTACCGCCGTCTTTGTGCGCATTTCCCCTTTTATTGTCGTCATACTTTTTGCTGCGACAGACCTTCTTATGGTGGTGGACCTTCCTACATCCACGGCAATTGCGTGTCTCCTTTCGCGACAAAAAATCATCCACGTATGCGACAAATTTCGCCGAATATGATTTATTCGTAGAGCTTTAATCTTGGTTGCTTGCTAAAATTGTGCGAGCTATTCCATGTGCATGAGGTAGTCGATGAGGTGCGTCTTGGAATTCTCCAAGCAATTTGTCGCTAGCTTATAAAAAGCGTTTTGCTTGATGTTGTCAAGTATCTTCTGCTCAGCGTCGCTAACAGCGACCAGGTTCAATATTTCTCAAGCCAGGACCTCTTTCTATCTTTCTTCGTGATAAAGAGCTATATCGCTTTAGCGGCGGTGATCATCATCTTGAACTTTCCAGCATGCGCTGCATCATATACTACTATGTCGCCGAGCACGACGCCCTTCACATTTTCGCTTTACAGGAAGCCGCAATACTCCTGCGTCATGTCGACCTTTCGCCAAAACGTCTTGCTCCAGTCGAAGCAACCGGACCCGAGTCAGACGTACACATTAATGCCATCTGACAAGCGTATCTCCAGCTTGCGCTGCCCTGTATCCGGGGTGCGATGCAGCATCGGCGTCACTGGTTGCCAGCTTCATTTGTTGCCGATGCAGTATCACACTCTAAATGCGAAGCAGTACCTAAGCGCAAAAAAATAAGGGCCGGCATGGTGTCGATCGAGAAGGCGGCCGAGGCAGCAGATCATCAATCTGATGCGGCTGCTGTCTCGCTTTCATTCCTAAATCTTCGAGCCATTCTGTTGCGCGCCGCGCTTGCTGCTAAAATGCCGATCGTGCAAGGCCATAAGCTCCAAAGAACTATAGTGGAGTTTCCCTGCGAGCTCCGCCCCATTATTTGATCGATACAACTCACTCTCTTGCGTGCCGCGCATGCGTTCGTCTTCATCCATGCGTGCTTGCGACGCCTCCATTCTGTGCATCCAGAGATCCATACTTGTGATTATACCGGGAACTCTCGCCATTGCGTCAGGCTCCACGCTCGTTCCGTCAGCGGTAGATTGTGACCTTACAGGCGTGGCCGCGCCTCTTTCGTGACCGCTTGCCTACGGCGCCTGTGTCGCATTGATATCGTCGTTTGCTACCCAATTTGGCCTCAAAACCTGTTTATTAGCTATCAGATAAGGCAAAGAGAAGGTGTCAAGAGCACTGTGGTAACAGGATTCTAAAATTGTTGTTTTACCATCTTGTTTTCTTCTACTCATCTCTTTCCAATCAATTTAATGTCCAACGTTAATCTTAAGTGCCGCTTTCAACTGGTTTAAGCCCAGTGGACTGCTAACCTCAACTGGTCCGAGCCCAGCGGACTGTCGACTTCAAGCTCAAACAAGTATATCAGCTAATACCTACAATTTGCTACATTATTTGACCTTCTGCTGCGCCGGCATTCACTATATCGCAGTTGCTAAGTGGGCTCTTAGTCATTTTAGTGCATGGATGAATGTATTGGTAAATAACGAGATCGAGTTTTTAATGCTAACAGCGTCCGATGTCTCGCACAATATACGATGCACCCATTTCTCTAAGTGATCTACCTAGCGTCACTTTTTGAAACTGAGACGCTTGACTATTTCTTGCTTGCCCCGATGATATGCCACCGCGAAACTAACATCGTAACGCTGACTAATACGGTCTAAATTATCCACAGACCGTTTCGTGTTCAAGTAGCATTTATAATTGAGGTTTCTACTGGACTTAAATCGAATCTCATGCAAGTGAGTGCCATGTAGGCACCTAAATATACATTTACTGTGGCAAAGTGTACTAGTTGCGTAGACTCCACAACCGATCAATCAATTCAACACCAAATGTAATGTCATGTCAAGACGCACGCGTCAAGTGCACATAGTGCACCATCATCCTCACGGTATGACTCGTGGGATGCAGGGGCTCTGGGATGGTCTTTTATTGTTGTCAAGGTGGTGTAAAAGGACTCGACACAGGCTTGTAATCCTTAGTTTCAAACCTTCTAAAAATGTCCTAAATATAGCGTCGATGACACGGGTACAGCTTATGTTCAATCAGGCCAAAAAGATTTTTTGATGATATATTGATTTTTAAGGACCATTTTTTAAAAAACAAAAATTCACAATCGATCATCCTTAATTAAATTTTCTCCTGATCTTGCAAATGATTTGTCGTATCGTCTCCACCGAGTTATAGTGCCTATCACATCAACAACGTAGACGAGGAGCAAATCAAAGTTAAGGTCGCTGTAAATTATGTACAAGCATGATCAAAACTCGAAAACTGTCAAGCCGACCGAGCGTACGTAAGCGTAAAAGTTTCATTCCACATGCGAGACAATTGTTTGAGCACGTAAATCGTCCTTCTATTTTGTAATCAGGTCAACTGTGGATAAATCTTCATGCCGTCCAGAATGTGATTTAGACGAGTTCTTATAACGTGCTATGTAATAAAGCAGTGACTACGTCAAGCGTGTCTATATTCATCCGGTCAATTTGGCCAGCGCGATCATCATGCCAAAATTTAATTAATGTATATACCGGCGAAAAGGATTTCGTAACTTTAACGCTGTGATTTTAGCGAAATTCTTACGCGACGATTCGTTTCTTGTGGTTGCTGATAAAAAATTTAGTGTTGCGCTAAACTTTAAACACCAACTGGCACGCTGGTTTCTAAAGGTTGCCAGAACAGAATCAATCGCGAGTCTTCATTGAGGCATTCTTGGTTTTAATCGCTTAGCGCCCTTGTAATTGATCAGATCGCTAACGGCTTCCTGAAAATTGATGGGCTTAGACAAGATGCAGGCTTGAATTAAATAATCATTTGCTCACTACAACTCGGTAGGTTTGATTCGTAAATGGGTTGATCGCTGAAACAAAGCATCGCCGTTTGTAATGTTACCATCCAAGGCGAGAATAACGCTCAAGGGCGCAATATCAAGCTACAGTGAGGAACAAGCAGCGCTTTTAGCGGACCACTGCAAAAAAGAAAGTAATGATCATAATGTTTATCCATTCCATCAGGTTGAATCGTGATGTCATCCATTTTGTCGTCCGAATTGTTGGTTAGACCATAACACTAACACATTTTTCAGAGTTGACGTCAAGAAAATATAAATTTCCCCTACCTTCGATGTCAAATACAAATTAAGCCTTCTAGCTGTGTTTGCCTCCATTAAGATACCCGGTCCGTAGTTTAATTCGCACCTTCGGCGCTTCCTTTTGGCGAAAAAAGAATAATATCAAAAATCCAAAAACACGCAAAAAAAATTTTACACACTTTACAATGCTTATTTGCCACAAAATTTTTATCTTGTCCACCTTCGTAATCACCATACCTGTAATTGCGCGGTCAAGCTAGCTTGACGGTTCCTTGCCTGTAAGTCACAAAAATTGCAAATTGGTGTTTACATCGTGAAGGTCTCCATGGCCAATAAATCCCTGTTGCATGTCCGATAATGTTAAACCTATCCGTGTAAATTTATGGCAGCCATTCCTTACCTTTTTACGACACTTAGAAGCTTCTCCATCAATTTAAGTGAATCGTACACCTTTTGAGCGTCACTGCAATAATTTCTTCTTCTCATTTGTAGTCAACTATTTCTTCGTCAACTGATGTAGATAGAAAAAGTTTCATTCAGTGTTTCGATTCCAGCTCGAGATGCTCACAGGCAATCTGCTATTTAACAAATGGAAAGATTTAATTTTTAAATATGTCCAGCAATACCTAGAGCAACGACCAAAAATGTTCAATTGCCATTGGCAAGCATAAGTCAAGTCGAAATACATACTGGATCGTAAATAAAAAATACTTCGACACAAAAACGACAAAGCAACACCAGTGTACCACATAAGCTGCCATAAAGCGCATTCGTCTGGTCGATTACATATATAATGATAACGGTCGCGATGCATGATCAGATGAGCTTCGGCGTATCCTATTCTTATTGCGCCAATCACGAAGCTTAAGTTTACCAAACTACTTGCTACCATTTTCGTCATCATTATTTGCCTCGTAACCGAGTCCTGGACATAAAGTGGCACATAACATCACGATATTCCCGATCGCAAATCGAGGAAAACTTGTCCACCTTTGTCAGTACTAAACCGTACAGCTTCAACATAGACTCAATTACGATTGGTTCATGTATACACACGCATCGAGAAGCGAGAGCATCCTCCTTATTCTTGCTCTGATAGGATCTGGCACAATATTTCTTGCTCGTCTGAAAGGCAGAAAATTAAGAACGTTAGCACATATGTGTATTGCCGCCACCACCGATACTGATCACACAAAATTCTTTCGTGTGATTCAGCAGCACCTCATTCAAATTCCTATGAAAGAATTAAAGAAGAGGCTTTTGTAACGCTGTACGATCGCGTGACCAATCAAGCACAAGGTCTATTCAATATGCATTTAATTCTATTATTAAATCGTAGGTTGTGGTTGATAAACGAAAGGATGGCGGCTGGTTAACGTTGCCTTAACACAAACAAAGTTGATTAAAGAGTAGACGTAGGCTGGCCTCTCGAGAGGATGGTGTAATCCCCGGATACCGCCCGTCTCAGTAACATTTTACTTCGGTAGAAAGTCCAAAATTTAATGAGAAAAGACCGACAAAAGTCGAAAACCAGTGTTGACACATTCAAAAGAAAAAAGTTTGCATTACCGTCCATTTAGTCGGTTTCTGAAGTACAGACATAACCTGTAGAATTTGTGTAGCCTTTAATCAAGGCAGGGGTTGCACCACACAGAGCTAGACTGGACGTACCAAAGGGGTTTAAGGGCGTTCCCTACTTGAGCATGGCCCTGCCAGCCACAATGGGCCCTAAACACGTTTGGCGGCGGCCTTGATGTGTCCAATTCCACCTGGTTCTCGTCACTCAGCTGCTTCTTGCATCTTGTAGTGAGCGTCTTCGACCTTGGTCCTGTACTGGACCCGAACCTTGCGGTGGAACTTAACCTTATTGCCTTGCACAGCATTGGATGAAGTGCACGCTATAAAAGCGTCGGCTGGACTCAATGCATTCAGCAGAACGTTGTCCGTCCAGCCGCTTTGCATCGCACTTCATCATACCAAGTTGCCTGGTTTAAACCTCATGGTTACCATTGGTGACTGAACCAAACGAACCATAGACGAGCGCGGAAAGGTGAACCGTCCAACCTTGACGCTCTTGTTGTAGATTGACACAGTCATACTCGGTGCGCTTTTAGGCAGCCACAAGCGCGAGGGTAGACTTGGATCACCATCACTGGTTTGTACTATAAACGCCTTGGTGAGATACACAACAGCAACTGTCTTCTTGATGTGGTTGAGCATCTGAAGATCTGGCCGTAGAACCAGCCCCGCTCTTTATGGACCGTTTGATTGACACGAAGCTCCACCCGGTCCGTCTGTTCACCAGGCCTCGACCGTAAATTGCGCTCAATGGTCTAATTCGCGTCGTCGTGGTGATCACGAACAACTTCCATCATTCCGATGCAGTCGTATGAAATGTGGGCCAGCGTCTTTGAGCGTGAGCACCCGGGATGCCTGCATGTGTTATGCGCTAGGAGACGTCGGCGTTTTAGCACACTGAACGTTTTAATTTTTTGAGGCGGGCAGCCACTACGAACCGACATTCAGAATTCCACAATTCTTGCAGCCTCGTGAGATATCCACTACCAGTACCGCCATGCGTGCGTGCCGTCTTCTTTTGGTCCCGCATAAATGATCACTTGTTCCAGTGCTTGTTCTCGAGGTGCAACGTCATGTGCTGTAAGACATCCCTGTTATCCAACCGCTTGGAGTGGTGCAGCACGCGAAGCTGCAACGGTTTTGATGACGTACTAGTCACGTCCACCTCGGGCGATGACTCAAACAAAAGCCGAAGCGGTGGAGGTGACCATGGACGTCCAACCACAGGGAGCTAATTTCATCATTGCGTCGCTTAGGCAAGGCTATATCGGACTTTCCCAGCTTGTTGCTGAGAAAGAGATTACATAGCTCCTGCTCACGGTCCTTCTACACCACAGCATTCAGCTTTTTACGGACATCTGCAATCTTGAGGAACTGCTGACAGGCGATAAGCTGGATAACAGGGTCAGGAGAGTGTAACATCTGTCGTCCATGCACTACTTGTAAAGCCCCGTGCAGCTCCATCGAGGGCAGTAGCCTTTGACCATTGCGAGAATCCGGTGCATAAAAGAACGCCGTCTTGGCGTTCGAAGGTAGGTGCAGCAAGAGACGAAGACCACGAATAGGGTAGTGGTGTAGCCCTCCGGCTGTTTAGCAAATGACCTCAAATGTCGGACGACGTTCTCAACTCGCGGGTAGAAAAAACGTTTACCGCCTTCCTTGATTTCCACGGCTCCATTCCAGACTGCAACAAAGCTGTAGCATCGTCCTTCAGCTCTGTTAGCGCTGGAGCAAGCTCCTTACAGCGGCGGACATGGTCGAATTTATCCCCGATCCCCAAGTACTTCTATGAGTTAGCAGATTTTAGCGCTCATTGGGGTACCATCTAGCAGCAGCTTAACGTACTGGGTCTTATGCAAGCCTCGGATGTCACGCTGGACCGACTTGGTGCTGCATTTTGTAGGTTTCGCACACGTACCAGTCCAACCCAAGATTTCTTGGACCGTCGAGTGTTGACGCATGATGTCATCCACAGTGCTGCTGAATATCTTCAGATCGTCTGCGTGTGCATAATCACCGGAGAGATCAACGTCTAACATCTTCACTCCAGTGTACAGAAGTTTTAAAAGCGCGTGAAGTAAGGGATCGAAATCAGCTGTAAATAGGTGAGGGCTAAGCGGACAGACTTGACATACTCCCACCTATAGCCCAATCGCTGCCGTGGTCTCATCAACAGCATTCCCAATGGTGAAGGTTAGCATCAGAGTAGAGAAAATGGCAAAAGGCAATAAACTCGAGTGAAAAACCCTGTCATTTTAGCGCATCTCAGAGCAAGTCATGTGGTACGCTGCCGAAGGCGTCTAGCAAAGTCGCACCACACGACACACAGCTCGTGGTGATTGTGCCGATCTTCGTCAACAAGCATGGCTGCGAGGAAGTTAAGCTCCCCGCAACCATTTATTCTACGGAATGCCCTTTTAAAGACAAGCATTCTGCCATTAGATTGTATCCATAACGTGAACCGTCATGCAAAAACCCAAGCGTAAAGCTTGTAGATGGCCTGCTGCAGACAGGTCGGCCGCCAGTTGAATGGGTCAGACTGATCACCTTTCTTGTACAGCAGACGCACCACAAAAGCCTTCCACCTTCCAGGGACCCGCTTAAATTTTTAACAACACGCGAATGCTGCGTGGAGAGCTAATTAAAGCTGGGCTCTGAGCATCATGTAAATGCCGTACCCAATCCCATCTAGACCTGGGCTGGAGCTGCCACGGGACCGCTGCACTCGGCTTTCAATTTCATTAGCATAAGGAGCGTCATAAAGACAACCTATCCAACGACGCAGCAGGTGGTTTATCCCAAATGCCACGCAAAATGGTCCACCGAACGGAGATAGTACATCAAAAGTATGCTCGGCGGTGTTTACTTGCGTGAAGAACTTACGTAAGCGTTCGCCTACAACGGGACAAACGCCATCATCGACTTCATCCCCCCGCTCACCACAGTGGGCACCAGTGTAGGTAGAGCGAAAACGGCATTACGCTTGACTCAGGTTGAAGTTAGGATTCCATCCACACAAGTCTTCTCATCCACATCAAAGTTGCGGCGGATGCGCTGTTGTTCGATGGCCGACCTAGTTCAGCCAACTCGGCGACTTGCCTTCCTAATAGCGTAGCAATAACCAGGTGATGAGCGCTCTACCGCATCTAGACATCCAACGCCTCGTCTAAGCGGTGTTTCCGTTGATGTCGAGTACCCGTGATGGCTAAAGCCGTATAGGCTTCGCGGCAGCCCTACTGAGCGTCAACGGCGTCGTCGAGAAGCTTGGCCACTACCGCGAGAAGGACCGGTATTCGAGCAAAAAATCCAGCACTTTAGGGACTGTATTTAGACGCTTAAGAGGATCCAGTGACTACGGCACCTGGTCCCGAGCAATGCCGTCATGTCTTGACGGGTAAGCCGTGCGAGCATAGAGTCGGTGTTGAGCTTGGATGAACGGTTGCAGGTGGTCATGCAAAGTGTATGGTAGGGCAGTAATGTATTCCTCCGCCTCCTACAATTCCATACCACCCATTTCGTGCAGCCAGTTTTGCAGCCAGACGGAACACCAACTTGTTTACAGTCTCTTGTTCGTCCTCGTCCATTAACGTAGTCGCAGTCGCGACCGGCGCTAAGTTACGAGATCAGGCCTCACACTCATCGCTGCATACACCTCACCATCATCGATGTCTCCAAAGTCGTCATCATCGGAGGGGCTGAAGGGGATATCGGTGCCCTCCGCGACTTACGGTGTGGCAGGCGGAGGTGCAGCTGCGGGTGCAGGGACCATCGTGGAGGTAGAGGTGCATACCTGTCCATCGATATGCACCCCACACTTTACTTCGGTACGGCAGCGGTCAAGAGTGGCGTTGGCAAGGCGATCGGCACGACCTTTTGCCTGCCTGTCAATGTGACGGAGCTTGGCGTGCTGGAACCTCGCCAGCTCTACCTTGACCGCTATCTGCAGTTGCCGGAGCCTCTTGTTACGCGTGGTAAAGATACCAAGCACCCGCTGTATATCAATGGTGCTGCCACCCTCAATCCGCAGGCGCGTGATACCGTGGTCGGAGGCAGTGTCGAGCAGCAGCGCGTTGTATTCGGCCGTGTTCATAGTCTCGCTTCTGCTCGGCTTGTAGTAGAAGCACTTAATCAATACGGGGACGCTGGGATTGAACAACGCAGCGTAATCACCGCCAGGGACAGGGTTTGCAGGCAGGCACCGTTAAAGATCAGCATCTACTCTCCATGTCTTGTGCGTCGTTGACGTCCTCTTCGTCGCTGTCGCCAGCCTTAGCCTAGTCCTCCTCAATTAACGATGCCGGGAGGAGGTGGTCAATAATACTTGACACCACCACGCTGCGGGGTAGTGGAAACCCCAATTGGGAGAGTAACCTTGTTGAGGCGCTACGCTGCGTGCGAAGCAAACAATTGCCTTGAGATCGGACGGCTCTATCTTGAAGCTGTCTTCCTGATATCAGTGGTACTCGCATGTGTGGGGGGGACACAGCGAGCACCATGGGGTATTGTCAGGGTAGTACGGGTACGGAGTCGGCCAACGTAGCGTTGGCATCGGCTTCATCAGCAGTGGGGATGAGATCTTCTGTTGCTGGCGTAGCATCAGCCGAAGTGACGTGGGGGAAGGCACACGCGCGATCGTAGTTTGCTGCAGCCAGTCTCATCACGAATGGTGTGCCGCACGCACAAAACTTACGAAAAGAGATCGAATAAGGCGATGCGGCGGTGCCTTGAATACCGGTGGCAGTTAAGCGAGGCAAATATTAAGGTCGTGCATGCACACAGCGTGCACGTAAAGCGCCGCCCGTTGTGTGCATACACGACCAGGACTGAGGCCGGAAGTGGTCTGCCCGCGGATTGCGAAAGCGCTTGTGTCTTGGGGGATTTCAACTTCTTCGCGCAACAGTTGCTTGGATTTCTTGCGCGGGTTATCGCCGTCCTCGTCGTTCAGGTAGCGACGCTTGCCGACAAGGCGGTTTACGAAAAGAAGAAGGCGGAGCGAGGCTTTCTGCCTGCCACGTCGCGCACTGGTCAACACATAAAGGGACGGCCGCATTAATGGCAGGAGCCTGTGTAGCACCCACCAGCAGCAGGCTACCCGCCCTGCCGGGTGTGCTGTCATAAATGTGGGGACAGGGCCCAGCGGAAAACTCGTTGCCGCAAGTCTTCGGAGAGTCACACTTGGCTCAGTCAGGCAACATGGGTATCTGCCATCCGAGCCGATATTAATTGGTTTGAGACATCAACAACAACTTAGTCACCTGCTGCAAAGGAAACGGCCTCGTAAGAGGTGATGGTCGTGTCCATGGTTTTGCCCTTGGCCACTGCAATGTATCCAGCTCGGGAAGGCAGCTCCGTAACTACGTGGCCGAGCCGGTCGTCATCACTTGGGCGGGCGGTTGCAGCATCGTTGTCCATCGACGTATCGTCGTCGGGGCTGCTGCGTCGCTTCTGCCGCTGTTTTCGGGGTCGCCTGGGCCATGGGTAGCTCCCAGTGACCGGCCGTAGCGGCTACTTGCGCGGACCCATCGTTAAACCGGTCATGCAGCAGGCTTGCCGCGCCGCCGGCTTGCAAATCAGCATTCGAGGGTCCTTTGCAGCAATAGGGACCTGGTGGGCTGATGAATGAGGCGGGGGAGCCGTTTTGCATGCCTGTAGACCCAGGGGCTTCCTGTGTGCACCCGGGGAGCCGGTGCTAGGAAGGTAGCCATGCTTGACCCGACATGCCGCATGCTGCTCGTCCTGCCGGGCCCAGCATCATCAGTTTTAGTGTGCTGTGCCTTCCTATCATCTAAGGGGGGGGCTTAGCAACGTGTTCTGGTCCTTGGTGCACGTCTTGGTACCGGGGCAGGATGCTTGTGATCCCGTGGAGCCGTCGCTCTGAAGTCCTTGGCCTGCCTACCCCGCTACCTCATCGGGCAGCATGCCGTTCGCCCTGTCGGGTCAACAAAACAATTCACGGGAGTCCTTGGAGGCGGCGGCAGCGTCCGTCAGGTAGAGAGCCATTGGGCGCGCGATGCAGGCGTCGGTGGAGCTTGGGGCCCCTGCAGGGCCGGCGGTGACTGCAGCGCCTTGGCCCGTGGTCGTCGGTGCGTGGTCTTAAAAGTGTTCTCGAGCCGCGGCGACACCTAAACTTAATCCAAGTAAAGGCCCAAAGTAACCTTCGGTGGTACCAACGGTGGGTCGCCGGGCCTCTTCCCGGTCATCGACGATACTCAAAAATAGTTTGGAGACCGGGGCGGCCTCGCGTGCGCCAGAGGAGTCGGCGCGCGCAGAAACTTGGTAGGCACTGAATGATGCAGATTCAAACCCGTGCTTAAAGTTGCGGCGCCTAGCTCCGCGTCACCGCCGTGAGGCGATGGTGCTCGTAAATGCATGCTGGGCTCTTTTCCGGACCTCGAAGGGGGATTATTGGGGGCACGAGCGTGTACCTTCAAGCCTAGTCTGGTGGCTACAATTTCCAGATCTTATCGCTTACCCGTTCTTCAAAGAAGGGTAACGAACGTCCTGGAAACATTTTAAAATCAGGCTGCCCCGCTTCTTTGCCAATGGAAAGTTGCTTGTATCTTGGAAGAGGGGCATTTCGCCTGTATTCACGCCAGTATCGTATTCATTCGACGCGTCACAAAAAGCCGCAACGCTGGTAAGACTGGAATGGCCTTCCGTAGAGCAATCACTATCGCTGGATAGATAGCGCTCGGGGAGGCCAACCGGCCACCAGAAGCGCATATGGATGCGTTGGCATAGGCCGGTGCAGAAGACATTAAGGCGAAAAAACTCGAGCAAAAGAACGATAGTAAAAAGAGAGCAAGTGTATTAATTACGTATCGTTGGCCTCTCGAGGGTTAAACGAACTCTCTCAAAAACCTCTTGTTTCACGCGAGTAAAACTTTTTTTTCAAAATGATTGTGAAAAGGCCAACTAAAATCAAAAATCAGTATTCACATTTATTGAACAGATGGCCAGCTGGATGTTGTGGTTCGGCTATTTGTACGGGGCGATTGTGGTCAAGCCGATCAAGATCGGGTCCATAAGCTTAGGTGATTCGGCTAAGCACGAGATGGTGTCGGCTGAATTGTTCGTGGATTGATGGCTAGTTAGTTGGATGTTTATTGAGACAGACCCAACGGGTTCAACCCTATCTATTCAACACGGTATCGAACTGTAAAAAATCTAGGGAATGCGATCAGAGGACCGCTACCAGAAGACCGCAATCAGAGGACCCCGATCTGGCGCGGGTCACGTGCTATGAAAGAATCGAATATTTATTCGGCATGGAGAAGACACGTGGCAATTGATTCTTACATACGGAGTAGGTGTGATCAGACTTTTGGATTTTGGTTGGTTAACATTACACAAAGTTCAGTTCGCTTCTAAACACGTATGCGTCGTTCTTCTTCCGGGTTGAATATTTTGGCCTCCCGACGTCAATGAACTTCGACACCAAGGGCAGAAAGATCACACCTGGAGTGATTTGGCCAGGAGTGCAAGGACTTTCAACACACCTCAGCTGCAATTGGACGCAGGTAGCCTTACCTGTTAATAAAAGTACAAGATTTCGAGACGGATCAAGTAGTTTGAAGGCTCACGACTTAAGTACCCCATTTTTCACACAAGGCGATCAAGGCTGATCGCAGCGACTCAAGGAGAGCACCAACAAAAACACTTGATAGGGTAAGAAATTTCCACCCGGGCGACACCAATCTCTAAACCGGTTAAGTTCAGCATCGAGTCAAGTCCACCTAGAAGAGTGCAACCCGCACTACCGACGGGTACATAAGGTGAGAAGCAAACAAGTGCATGCGAAATCGGAGTACCCCTTCGTGAATCGATTGTCTGGGCGCCAGTGGAGAGTCGGGATCGCTTCATAAAATGAACGAATTCCACTCCACCACTTAAAAGCTAACTTACATCTCGTCGTTTCTTCATTAATCCCAATATTTCCCAAATTTTTTGTCCGTCGATTGGCCTTTTCCTAAAACCTCCATCTTTAATATCAGTCGCGTACATCAAATGACTAAACCGTTTGATTAACGGACCGGCTTCCCCATATCGTGTCTCTTCCCTCACAATCACCTTCACACCTTCGATCGCTTAACTAGGCTCATCTCATTCACGATTGGAGTCTACGGTATCTTTTTGTTCAGATTGCAGAATGTACTATGTTGATCGCCGATCCGTTCTTGTCGAGTGACTTCCGTCCATGGTTTGAAGTTTACCCTCACTTCAATTGGTCGTGTCCTATTCTGTTTGCGACATGCTCTTCCCCGAAATTTCTCTCGTCCGGCGAAAAAGAACTCAGGTGAAAAATTCATGCAATGGATAACCCACCAACAGCCCTGCATGCTTTTCCAATATCTCTTCCTCTAGTTCCATAGTCCATTAAACGCTAGCTTTCGACAGTCTGTAAGCCGGTACTCGATAGATACATACCTTGGTGACCCAGGTGTCATGTCCGATGTCTCCCACAATTGAACAAAGCTCCATGATCATTGATCATTTCATGATCGCTGAGGTTTGTGAGCTGCACATACCTGAAGTGGACGGGCCCACTAGTGACTGTCGGCACCCACGCCATGTCTCGCCTCACCTAAAGCTTAGCATAGGTGGTCCATCCCCAAAAAGAAGTTTTGTCGACATACCAACCGGTTTAACCACATTTGAATAATTTCAGATTGATCGCCTGTATGGTCGATCGATCAGGTGGCTTCCGTCCTGCCATTTCGAAACTATTCGCTTCAGATAGAAATAATATACCGTCGGCTCAGTCTAAACGGATGCTCGTAAAACATGTAATACATACCCAATATGACATTTCGGATGAACTCGTCAGCAGTCCAATGTAAAAATATTAAACCAACGATCTGTCTAAAGTAATCGTGATCTTCGTCCGTCTTTCCGTCATTAACGTGTTCTCTCCAATTCCGACGTACGCTTTCGTTCGACTGTCGTCGGTCACACATCCTAACCATACAAGAAAAGATAGTATTAATGATCGACACTTCAGCGTTGGAATCAAACACCATCGTGGCTTTCTCAGTGTCGAGCTTTTCCACCACTTTTGCTTGCTTGAACTTTTTTCCGGGGTGGGTGGTATTTCTAACACCCGGGTGATTCTCCTGGCGCAAAGTCGATCCATTCTCACAGGCGATCAGACGTAATAATCCACTCTTTTTACACTTAATATTGACGAGACTAATGTAGAATGTGTATGTTTAGAAGCCATCAGATTAATTCAATCGTTTACCTCTTAGCATCTTCTTGTTCCTTTCACAATTGTATAAATGCAAAGCCTAAATCGCTTGGCTCGTGCCAGAAACCAACCTAGAGAGCCTTCTAGCTTTACATCTCCTCAAACTTGGGCGAAATAATTCTCGCACGCTTCGTAGGCACGTACCCCTTTCGGACCAAATTTTAAAATTCTTTGATGTGGCACTTGTAACTTTCGTGTACATCCCCGCAGGCTGCACACAAGAAGAATTCTATTTCAGAGGGGTGTTCTTTGCGACCAAATTTCTGGTAATTCAATCTCTTCCATCGCTCTCGATCATCGTGTCTGGTAGATCCACAATGGGTGCACGCCTTCGATCGTCCAATCCAAATGCGTTCCTCCCCTTCACTAGAATTCTTTTGCCAACTACGATGATCCGTGTTCGGTCGTTCTTGGTCCGGTGTAATCGTTACGCAAACACGACGACGATCCAATTTTTTCCGGATCTGATTGACTCCGATTCCGACTCGCTGCTTTCGAATTTAATTTAAGTTTGCTTGCACCGCCCGAGTCGTCTTGGACATTATCGGATTTTCAGGTGCGATTTCTCGCTAATGGAATTTGTATGATCCGATTGACGATTCCATCTGACAATTTTTCATCCTTTGACACGCACGTAGAATGCTTTAATCTCATTACTATCCATCAGTCACAGGAAGTTCAGCTATCTCGACAGATTGCAATCCTCCGGCGTAGCTACAAAGTGTTCCACATTCTCGCGACGCGTGGCCGATGTAGATAGTATTTTAGCTTCAATCGCGATCCTGGCATGCTTGGCCGCGACGTTGAGATGGTGCAAGTATTCCACGTGGGTTCTATCGGATAGCTTCCGCGCGAGGTCATACTGTCTCGCCACTGACACACCTTGCCTTCCATACTGTATCATCAAACAATCCAGCAGTTGTTTCCACTTTTTGCTGTGTAGATCGGCTCAGTTGGTTTTGCCAGCTTTAGACGATTACGTTTACAGGTCACAGAACATAAAACACCTTTCTTCATCTGCAGCCCGATCGCACAGGAGCACCAACTTGACTTTGCTGATCCAGCTTTTGGCCCGATCTTCGTCTCGACCTTTGTCACTGGATCTATTCAAATCCACCATCGCTGACACTCGAATACGTTGACGAACACCATGACCGTTTTGCAACGTCTCTGTCGTTACTAACACCGCATCGCTTCGCCGCTCTTAATGACCCGAATCATCGGGATCGGCGTTTACGGGTTCGAAAATGTCAGACCGACTGAGATGCGATCGCGCCAATTCCTTCTCTATGCCTCTGGTTATACGCCTCTTTAACTTCTGCCAACTTGATCCTTTGACTTGGATGGATCGCTTGATACGCTCGATTTTAACGTTCTTAATGAAAACGTTTTATGGTCTCATCGAGGTACTTTCGCAGGTGTACTTGCATAGTTGACGACGTCTCTGTTTTAGTGCATGTGATCGTCGATTGCGGATCAAACTTGATCGTCTCAACTTAATCAAGGAGATGTGCTGCTTCACTTGGAGCCAGAGATATCTGCTGAATATTGACCGAATCATCCGACTCCATTTAAGAGTCAGCCAAAGCGTACTGCGACGATCCGGTATGGTATCCTCTCGGAACGTCGGCGATAGAAGAGGCAGCATGATGTAGGAATTTGCACTTAACCGTCAGGAAAATCTATTTTTACAAACCAATAGACACGCATGTATCACCTGATTTTGGTTGCACTTTAGTAATTTGTTCACGTCGTACAATCCAGCGACCTATCCAGCATTTTCTAGTAGCTGAGTGTTCGCGTTTAACCCGTACAGCGGGCTGGTTGCCACCGTCGGTGGAGATTTAGGATCTCGAATCTCATCGATCATCTTGATCTTCAGTATCACGGGCAATGAATGCTCGATAGCAGATCCTTGAGCTCCTTTCGGTAATACCTCTGAGCCAATTGATTCAACTGCCACCCTTTCACCTTCATGTAATCGTCCATGTGCTTGATTGGCCGATTGATCAGTTGCACACTGTAATCGTGTTGATCTAATCTGGACTCTTCTTTCTTAATTAGTTCTGTCTTCACGATTATCTTCTCCGACATTGCCTGTGTGGTCTTGTGTAGGTTTTGTTCAGTTTTTGCTGTAGGGTTTCCACCTAGCGGATCGAGCTTTGCAGTACGATCCGCGGTGGTTCCCAAAGGGACCTCAAGATGAGGTCGATATCTACATTCAAGATGGAGTGATCAAATTGCTCTTTTTCCTTGTTTTCATCAGATCCCCTCCCAAAACTCTGACACCTGGGGATCTTTTAAAATCAGGCTTCTGAGACGATCCCTCCGTCTCAGACACTTTCATTCCATATTCAGTCTTAAACTTTGCATCTTAATTTAGGGACTTAAGCTGAATTTCAAGCCACCAGAAGATCCAGGCACGCGCACCGTTGTGATGGAATGGCTAAAGATAATTTTTAGAGGCGGTTTCCGAATCTCCGCTGGTGCGCAGGCGACCAACTGCTTGGGGAGTACTGTGTTTTTGTACCATGTATCTTTTCTCACCTTGTGAACCCGTCAAAATGGGCGAGCTGTGCTCGTATCGTTGGATTCGTCTTGAGAGAAAACTTGACCGTGTTCGGAATGGGGTTTGTGATCGCGTGAAAACCTTCCCACGATCACAGATATACTTGTAAAGTTCTTGATGTAAGATACCCAGATCTCAACGAGATTGCCTTCCTATCTTGTGTGGATGATTGACAAGCAAGTTTTATGTACACTTAAACTGTCTCGCGATCTTGCGCCTTGTTCATTAAGTTCTTGCTATGTCTAATCGCAGTATGAGAGGGGGTAAGAATTCATTACCCCCAGCCAATTTTCTGGGCATCTCACTTAATCTAGTATAGTCCACTTTCTTGACGTCGGGAGGCCAATATTCCAGACCGGAAGAGAAGCCAACACGTGTGCTTAGAAGCAATTATAATTTTGTTCTTATTACACCAATTAAAAGTTAAACTACGAATATGGCTATCTAAAATCCAGTATACGCTGCCACTTGTCCCCTACATTCCGTCGAATTTTCTTTCGCATAAGTGGTCCACTTCAGATAGATCATTTGTCTCCTTCACCGATCGTCGATTCTCTGAACGATCTTCTGCCTCCTTAACCGATCTTCGATCTTCATGACCGATCTCCACTCTTTCTGAACGATTTTCAATCTCTTTGATCAATCTTCGATCACTCTCTAGTACGGAGATGGCTGCCAGTATACTTGGATTCACCAGACTTTGCACTTTTCATGCGTTCCTGATCTTAGTGTCTCGACTCGATCGTGGCAACTTGATATTCGATCCGGTTGCTATGACTTTGGTTGCGACATTCGGTCTCAGTAGAGCGCAGCTTAACAGCCAATTGATCTTTCGCACCACATTGTCGCGTTTGAGATCACCCACCCAAAGATCTCCCCCGACAGCTTCTGTCCGCTTTCCCACACACGAATTACTTCGATACAGGCATGGTAGCCCGGCCCACATAGAAACTAATGCAGTTTGAAACATGAACCGGTATAGATTCGCTTCTTAAACCGATTTCGAGCTAGCAATAGCTTGCCCAGCCAGGCTTCACGCCTAATCTCACCAACGTTGTGAATGGAAGCGTTCCATGCCTGAATGAACTAGGAACCATCATGCTTATGATTCCCACTTTTCCATCGATTCTTAAAGAACGCATCGATGATTGTGTTCAGTGCAAAAGTTGGTCACACTAGGATCAAGCTTATTAAGCCTTAAGGAATCGAATTCAACTCATTAACGATCACTCGTCGTGTCAAACAGACGATCTAGAACTCTTTGAGGATGTAGCCACGTCTTACTCTCAAAAGCAACGCTAAAGATGTTATGATCCACATTTTCTTGTCTGGTGAAAAAATGCATTATACTAGGTAAGGTAAAAATAGGAAAAATCCTAATATAGGAACAGATAAGGTAGAGTAAGGCCGACCTATAAGAAAACGAAAAAAGCAAGATCGAGGGAACTACAACTGACCATTCGTGACAGCGAAGGGCACCGAAACGTGAGCTGACCGGCAGCCGACGAAAAACTCGATGGACGAGAATTACATCCCAGAGTCCTGTTCACCTCTAGATGACAATGTGCCGGCAATGCCAGTTCGGGTGGCCTTAGCGAGCTGCGTGGAGTTCAGCGCAGCCGTGCATGCACGCTCGCGCCTGCTGTGGGAATGGCGCCAAAATTACGGGCGGTTGGTACGAGACCGCGAGGGGTGCCCGGACAGCTGCTATTTTGAGAAGCGATCCATCCACAAGAAGCGGGCGAAGAAAGCCAAGAACCGCCTCGGTATCCAGAGAAAGAGCAGAAAGGCATCCCATGAAGAATTCAAAATAAGCGGCTGTTGCGTCATTGCTGCAGTCACAGGGAAACGCTCCTTAGTGGACATCACCGGCCTCCAAGAATACGAAGAGAGGAATGAAGCCAATCCCGAAGACGGCTTCGAGTGGAGCGACGTGGGTAAGGAAGATGAGGAATAGACAGGGGAGTAATTGACCTGACCCAAGCCGCTGAGGAGGACAAAGGAGCGATCCCAGGTACCAATGGCCAGCTGATCGATTGAGTGCCCCAAGGAAAGCCGGTTTCGTGGCCCACGGACGTGGTGGAATTAAAGAAAGTGATGCACCACGAACGTGGTGCAATTGAGGAAAGTGCTGAACCCTGACAAAACATTGTTCCTTAACGAGGGGTCCAAAAGGAGAAGTTTGGATGCGTCGGATCCTGTGAGCTCACCTCATGCGCGAATGCCGTGGAAGCTCAAGTATGTGCGATAGACAATTGTTCCGTGGGAGCACAATGTGTCGAAATCGATTCCGGACCGGCCATCTGCAGCTCAGGGTCACCCTTCAAGGGAAAGGCGATTCGCGGCTTAACCCGTCCCCCTAGTACTGTGGTGTGTCAATGTTGGGGGAGCTACGAACTCTTTGCGCAGCCTGACGCCGCAAACTTTATCAAGTTGAATTCGCGAGACGCAGGGGGACGGCAGACATATCTGAGCGCCGAGAACGAGGGCTTGAAAGCCCGTTTCGTTGCTCATGCCTGCAAACCAAACAAGGTTTCTGTTGAGGTTCAAGGGCTCCAAAGGGTGGTCGTATCGCTGTCCTAAAGGGCAATAAAACAGGGAATTATCCGCAAAATACACCGGACGCACTGAAGATCCGTTGTGGTTATTTTATAACCAGTGCCCACCATAAGGACTAGATTTCCGCCGCGATGCAGTTGATCGGGATCAAGCACAAGGCACGGAAACCTGGAGAAGCGCATGGTAGCCATGTGTAGGTAAGCCATACAAATAGGTCCGCGTGAGTCTAGACGGAGTAAGGAACAGTGGGGGAGGGCCAAATAGGGCCACCTCAATAAAATTCCAAATAAGAAATTAGTGAAGATCACACGGTCGTTGAGAAACATGCGGAACGCTGTGAAGGAAATTTGGGGTGTAAGTACCGCGTAATTACCCCACCAAACGTTGTGAAGGCTTCATAGTAGCCGGTAGGTCCGCGAACACTCTGCTAGACTGATGCAATAGGGTTGGTACCTTAATTAGAAAAATGATACACAAATGCTGGTAAAAATCAGCAAACCTACCTGGCAGTTGTTGACCGTTGCGTCGTAAGTCCGGGGTGTACGAATTCTAGGAAGGGCGGAAAAAAAGAGGCAGGGAGGCGATCGAGGCTCCACCACCTCAGCTTCTAACGGAAATGAGAGCAATCAAGCGTCCGTTATCGGAGACCCTCAAAGTCAACAGAAGCTAAATTGAAGAGGCACCGATGAAGATCAGGGGGTCGACCATGACGGAAAAGGAAAGTACGCGGGCGAACAAACCCCAGGTCTCGGAAGTTTCAAACTAGCAAAGACGAGTCTTCAAAGGTCCGACGCACGCTCCCGACGCGGTAGCGATAATTTCACCAGAGGTATGCATCCAGCAGAAACGAGTCATGTGGAGTCGTATGATGAGACGAATTACATAGAATTGCCTATGTATGCAAAACGACATACCAGAAATGGCCAAACAACGCCTATGAGGATGATAAACAAAATTGAGCGCGTAATAGGCATGGAAGTTACCGCTGCAGTGTACCATAGTAAGGAAGGACAATGCTCCTAAGGACGGCACATCTGCCATGTAGAGTACGCGTGCGCTTTTTTTATAGGATGCAGCATGACATTATCTGCGAAAGAGTCCAATCTTATTGTCGCAGGAAGGCAGGGTGCTGGAAGACTCCAAGAAGAATAGTAGACCCAAAATTCGGAATTACAGTGAAACCGAGCAATTGGAGGCGCTATCGAAGGATCAGTGGCGCAGGTCTGAAACGGAAAAATGACCGATTTTGTGAAGTTGGGTATAAAGCCAGCCGCGGAAGCATGGTAATTGACCGCGTTGACAAACGCGATGTATTACCGAGATCGTCAAGGAACCCCCTGCAATCATCAGGTAATGCGAGCAAATGGCGGCGAGTCGGGTCTGAAGAGACCAAGAAACACAACCCGCCATTTGTCGCGCGGAGGTAGTTCATCAAAGATTTCATAAAGCGAACCAACAAAGCAGGCGGAAGTGGATCGCCTTGGCGAACCCCGCACCCAAGCTCGAAGTAACGGCTCGACAGCCCGTTTACGAGCACTGTAACCAGAGTTACAGCCTAGAACTTTTTGACAGCCAGTTGGAGGATGGCGCCTAAACCCGGATGGCCTAGTACAAGACCAAGGACCGAGCAGAAGACACGCTCAAACGCCTTAGCGAAATTTGGAAGCACGGCGCCCGCACGTGTATCTCCACGCCCGGAACAAAGTCGTTGAAGATCTTGGAGCCGAAAGAGAGCGTGATCAGTTAAACGACCAGGCACAAGCTCTTTCTAGTCCTCGTGGAGGAGATGGGGATGAACTTCACGTAGACGATGAGCCCATATCATAGGCCCTAATTTGGCGTCATGGTTGAGTAGCGTAACTGGCTGGTAATATCTAGGGTAGCAGCGATCGCCTTTTTTGTATAGAAGAGTTATTGAGGGCCAACGCAGGAGCTTAGTCATGCAGTCATGACGAAGTTGATTAGCGTAGACGAGCTCATAAAATCGGATCTATTTGTGGGGCTATAGTTGATAGCATTTTTACGGGCAAGCCTTCAAGGCCGCAAGACCGGCCGGTAGGTGACGTCTTGATAGACCATTAGAAGTCGTGTGCCGTCCAAGGCGTATCAAGCCGGCTGCGTGCGCCAGCGGAAATGGAAGCTGAAGTTTGATGGAGCAGCGAATGAGCTCCAGGGGCTGGAAGGACGCGGAGAGAGAGTTAAAAGAAGATCTCTAGGATGACTGCGGTAAATTAAGCCCCAGCAGCGGCGGTGGATAGCCGCCATCTTATCCGGGTCGAATTTAATTGAGCGGTCCTCTTGGGTAGCGTTTAAGATTGAGACCTGCCTGTCCACCGGAGTGGGGGGTGTTGAAGAAATAGGATGAAACAATTCTACAGTGCTAACGTCGCATTCAAACTTAGCCACCTTGCAGCGGGAAGATATGTAGGATTTGTGAGCCGCCTAGGCATCCCTAGCCAAAATTAATCGTGCCTTCGAGTCGAAAGAAGAGTGCACGATATTCTTATTGTCATCGTCATGGTACGTCTGCGTGAGGGCACGATCCTCGGCCGCTTCCGAATTTTGACCTCGTGGAACATGGATTGGAGGAACATGGCATCGGAACTCTTACGCTCTCCCAAGACAGCACAGGGGTTGTCCCTCATACCGTAGCAAATGAGGCACTGATGGCATCCAACGTGTCGTCTAAGATTGACGCTACCACCGGATGTTTTGACAGCCAAAAGGGACATTTCAATGGGAGGCGAAAGCGCTGGGGATGAAGGGGGACTGGAGGATAAAATACTTAGGAAGGTGGTCAGCATGGTGCCAGACTTTATCCGTCACGTGGAGAATGTCGACCAGATAATCTTCGAGGAGCTCCGTCGATGCATACCCGTAATCGATGCTATTCGTCGTCTAGGGCCAGTACATTCGTGGAGCCGAGGGTGGGTGGCTCGCCATGCATCGCCGACACCGAGGCGGGGTTTCCGGTTAAGGAATTCGGCAGCGCCTGCAGAAGAATTGGCTGAAGCAAGCTCGTCGAGCGAAGGATGAATAGGCACATTAAAATTGCTGGGCACTATGTAGTGAATTTTACTAGTAATTGGGTAGTGCAAACTTTCGAAATATGGTTTCCGGGCACGGCCATACACTGGAGCATAAACCACGTCGAAAAACAGGTGAAATGTGCCAATGGACACCGCCACGATGAGGTAGCAATGGAGATAAATAGCAGAGGACTCAACAAACGAGTCGGTGACATCTGCTCAGGGACAAATGAGTGGCCATCGCGAAAGACAAGGCCATCACCGTACCGTCCGTGGGGCCCTGATTCTCTTGTGTCATGTTTAGAGAAGTACCGACACCGGGATAATCTCGGCCACGCGGACTCTGATGCATGATTGCATCACCGTTCAGATCGTATCAGTGAACAGATCCACCGCTGTTTTGCTCTTAGTTGAACGACTACGTCTCGAAGGGAAGAGTCTGACTTGTTGAACGATTCGAAGATGTTACGACGCTCTGCGAGGCTTCTTCGACAAAGCCTCTACTCCTTTGACATCCATCAATGTCCACAAGATGTAAAGCGTTTCTCATTGTATTCGCTGTCTTCATCATGATCTTTCAGTGAACATTGATCAATGCCCTCAAGCTGCACAAGCTGCGTGGATCTCCCTCAATAGTCGTACTTAAGCTTATGCTGGTACAGCTATCTCCCCACGATGTGTACTCCAATTTACCGCTGTACACAGAGTATCGAGATTCGCGTTTATTACTGAAGTATCTATTTACCAGCATCCACCATTGCTGCCTTCTTCCTCTGTTGCTCCATAAGGTCATTCATCAACACCTTTCAATTTAATGCGTCTACAGTCTCGTGATACTCATCCAGGTTCAGAATAAAGTGATCTGACATCTTCGAATCTCGCAGATCAAACTGATCGTCACGTCTTTCTCCATTTCGGTGTCTGTGCTATTCATCTTGGCGGTGGTGTCCAGGACCTTTTTGCAGTGTTACTACACTTGACATCCATCCATATGGTAGTAATGAAGATATGTCGCATGATATATAGAGCTACCTGGTTTGAGCCGTGCGGGTAGTCGAGATCGCTCAATCCGAACTGCAAGTTGACGGCAACCTTTTCAAGGTAACTACGCCTGAGATGATCGGACAAATCGAACATTTCGACGAGCAGTGCGATTGGATGCACCAATGATCGGAGGTGGACATCTTAGCTGCGTAGGCAGAGTTGGATCTGCTTTTTATCTTCGATCTTTCTCATTATTCATTCAACGTCCCAAGGGGATTGCGCCATCCTTCCTGCTTCCTGCCAGTCGCCGTAAAACTTCTTGAAGGGCGTCCACGCCACTCAGGCTACCTTGAGAATGAAGCACTGGTACATTCGATGCACCCTC